CCGAAAAAAAAAAAAAAAAAAAAAAAAATGAGGACAGTAGTGCCTACTTCTCAGGTTTGCTCTGAAGCTGCAAGGATGAAACAAAGCATGTAATTTAGATGCCCCCTCTTAATATGAGATGCTGCTCTGGGGTGGACAACAGTGTGAACTAGGAAGGGATAACATTCCTTTCTCTGCTTTGGAAATTTTAGATGTCCTACAATAATGTGGGTTTGGTCTTGAGTCACAACTTTCTTATATTTGAGAGTTAAGTTTCCCCTAGGAAGTCTCGACATCTCCTTTGCTCTTGCCCCTAGAGATTCTGGGTGGGACACTGGGGGCTATGACATGGCCATTGGCAGAGACACCTGTTACAGAGCATCTCCCCTCTCCAGGAGCCCTACCCTCATAGACCACAGAGAAAACCCAGAACATGGAAGTCAGACGGCCAGCTGACCAATGCAGACACAGAATGGTTTAGGCATATGAACAGATGTGCATTCACACACACACACACAAATGCATAGCCTGCAGATACACACATGAAATTTAGCCTGGAGACAAACATTCAGATTCATAATAGGAACACATGGACTCCCATCATTAGGTTGGATATTCAAAGTCACACAAATCAACACACAATGATAAATACAGGCATGTGTCTCAACAGGAACATTCGCAGAACCCATGCAGAGGCTGAAGTCGGCTCAAGTAGGCATTCCTTCAGCAACATAGACATAGAGGGGACCTGCAGGCCCTTCGGGTGACAAGCATGGAGGCTCTCAGCTGGCATGCCAATTCACACAGATGGGCACACCCTCGTGTGTTCACAAACATGAGCACACACTCTCCCACCCAGTGCACAGATACAAAGAAGCCCACCCCACGCATCACACAGACACCTACATCCTGTAGGAACTAACCCATCTGCACAGCGGATCAGAAAGCAGAGGAAGGGACTGTACCCAGCCCTGAGTTTAGTCCATGCGAGTCAGTGGCCCCACTCATTTGAAGGAAGCAGGAAAGCCCTTTCTTTTCATATATTTTTTTTTCACTCTCCTTGTCTGCAGAGGACAGCTCCCAGCCAGGCCGCCGCCAGTCTCAGAGGCTCCCCGGCCTCCCTCCCCAGCAGGGGCCCCTGCCCAGACTGCCCCCAGGCCAGGAGCTGCCCCGGCTTTCCCAGAGTGGCAAGACCTCCTCCAGGCTCTGGAGTGTGACCGAGCGCCTG